TGAGAAAAAAAGTACTGTTTCCACTAAAACTGAATCTATGACTTTCAGTAAAATGGACAGAAATAATAAAGCAAAATATAATCTCTTCATGGCATAATGCTAAAATCACCCATAATATATGAGCATTTTTACACATAGTATTTACTCTCCGTTATTTTCATAAAACACAGTTCGTTTTATTTTTAACAAAACCTTTGGAGCCGTCTTGATAAGGTGAACAGAAAGCGGAGTCTTTTGAACATTAGGTGATCAACTTTTTGACAACAGCAGGACCAGCATAGCTAATGGCATAATAGCCTGCAGGGTCCGGCTAAATATGATATACGAACGTAATCAAGCCCTGTGATGACTATTCAGGAGTAATCCCTTTGGCTTTGAACGGCAACATATATTTCAACACGGCGAAACCCATATGAAGAAATTCTCTGCAGACCACACTGACACAATACAGCCTTCATATCCTGCTCTGTGTGTTTGCTGTTTATAGTGAGTTTTAAATTTAAGGGAACGACTGCTGTATATTCATGTGAGCGTGCAATACTTTTGATTTGTTGTGGAAAGGTTGAATCCATTACCAGGGGTCTAAGTCTATAAACTCTGACACAACCTTTATGTGTGAGTTATTGTTTTTTTTTTCTAGAGTAAGGCCACTACAAATGTTTTGCATGACAAAATTATAAAAATTCACCTTTTCAGCTACAAAACCACCAGGTAGTGTCTCTTCCATTTCAATTCATACTTTTCTATGGATAACATTTTAAAATCTCATTTATTTATAATATTACATTATTAGAAAGTTATATGCCATTGTTTTTAAATAGAGGGATGGGGTGGTGGGTTTATTGCAATTCCGCATTCGATAACTTATTCTATTGTTCTTTGGTACAGTATGGGCTAAGCGATAGTATAAATGATATCCTTTTGCTGTCGCTGTGAGGGATCTACCACTTGAGAGTCCTCACTATTAGCAACATATAAGTGCCTGTTTCTACCGAAATGTAGACAGTATAAGCAAATGTCAGACTCTCAGCTTTGTCTTGGCCTGGTCTCCCTTGCTGCTGTCCTCATCTTCCAGCTTCCTCAAAGTCTTACCAATCAAACATCTCAAATCACACCATTGGTCAGACTCATGGCGGAAAACCTAGGTTAGGAATCAAAATCAGTGCTTTTGCAATTACAGAGCCAAGAGCAGACAACCCCATAGTGCTCTCCTTGTTGCAAATAGAAGTATCAGGATACTTGAATGATGAGTTTAAGTGTTCTGTGTAAATTAAACATCACTAAGGTTTCCTAGCACAGAGAGAACATCAATGTCTTCTATTTAAATTAGAAGACGTGACCTAAAATTGAAAAGAATAGCTATAGAAAGATATAGCTATTCTTCTCAGAGAAGCTACTTGGACAATATTCAACAATAAAAATCACTATTCCTCAACATCTGAGGAATGAGTTTAAAACAATTATCTGAGACCACTTGGGGATAATTTCAAACTTAGGAAATCCAGAAAGGATTTCTCCAGCTTAAAAGATATTGTTACACCCTTCTATACCAAGACCGCTGAGTGTAGAACATTAGATAGTATAAAATAGGTATCAAGATAGTATAAAATGTTAGTGGGTTTCTATATGTTGTGATGCAATGAAAAATATTATACTGAGAAGCTCACACTAACTCTTTACATAAAAGGAATGATAGAACATTCTAGTTAAGGGAACAGCTAAGCTTCCATGACAAGAGTCCCAAAAGTACAGTAGTTTTAGAATATAAGTGTGTTTCTTTTCTACTTCTTAAGTGAGCCATTTGTATGGGGTATCCCTATTGATATTCAGGGGGCCATGACCTTCCATCTTGTTGCCCCATCATCCTCTAAGAGAGGGTTTCTCAGTCTTGCACTATTGAGATTTTGACCTGGATATATTTTTTGTTAGGGAGGAGAATGGGGATGGATGTGATGGTCAGTATTGGATGTTTAGCAGCATCCCTGCCTTTTCCCACTAAATGCCAGTAACTACTACATGTAACAACTAAAAATGTCTTCAGATATTTTCAAATGTCCCTGGTAAGGCAAAATTACCCCCAGTTGAGAACCACTAAGTTAGGGTATTGTCATTGTCTACATGGTAGAAACTGAATCATAAGATAATAGTTCCATGTTCAAGACTGAGGAAAGGGAAAGTTTCTAGAGAAATGAATGTCCTATGTCTAACACTTAGGCCCGGAAGCAGAATGTATCCTTCTGTCCACGTTCATCAGTCAGAACTTAGTCTTGTGACTTCAACTAAATATTTCTATGCTGATGAAGAAGATCTAGTAGAAAGGAAAAAGCTGACATGGGAGGCAGAAGGAATCACCAGACCCTGCCTTGCGTGGTAGGCAAGAGTGGATGAGATCTAGTGAGGAAGCAGAAGGGTTGGCCTTCTGTGGGAGCGTAAGGAAGAGAGAGCAGGGGCAGTTACTCTTGACACAGAGCTTGTCTTTTATTTCCTGCATGAAACAAGAAAATAAATCATCACTGAGGATGATGATGCATGTAGAAGATTGGAGGTTTGAGAAAATAGAAGAAAAATTTGAATAGACATCCAGGAAAGTAGAAGAGTGAAGTGACTAGAATGTTTAATCACCTGTAGGGGACCGGTTTTTCTTGGCCTGGCAAATATGACTCAGCTCTGTATGGAAAACCTACAGGTGCAAAGTGGTGGGCAGGAGCCAGATTTTCAAACCAAGTTTTCCCGTGGGAAGCAGGCCTAGAAAATACTTACGGACTGTTATGGCTTGCTCTTGCTAAAACTCCCTCACCCTGGTCTAAAGCAGCAAATGTATATTGTTTATCCTCAAGGTAACTTCCAAAGCCTGCGTGAGTTCTCCCAAGGACAGAGCTAATGAGCTCATTGCCATCCCCCTCTGCATGCTATTTTTATTTCTTTGATTGTACCTAGAATGTAGACAGTAATGTTCTATGTGATAGATAATAAATCTTTCTTTGATGTAAGACCCAAGAAAAACAATAAAAGCCTGTCTAGGCAAGGGTCGGGGCGCTCCCCTCTTGAGGGAGTGGCCGAGGCACCATAGGCACTCTCCCCTTGAGAGAGTAGTCATGCCTGTTCCCTTTTTCCACACAGGATTGTTGTTGCCTGTGCATTGATTCTCCTCGTCAACCACAACAGGCAGACTCTGCTGGACAGGGTCTGCAACAATCACCAAAAAGCATTAATAGCCATGAATTTAAAGTGAGGCCCTGTTGTGTGTTTTTCCAGCCACATTGAGCTATATGGTATATGAGAAGCATGGACGGAGTTCATTTAACTGGGGTTACATTTCTGGGAAGTGAGTCTTCCCAGCAAGAGATTGGTAGTCAGGCTATGTGCAAAAGAGTGAATGACCATGACATTTACATTGCATAAAGAAGGAAAGGAAGACATCAAAATGGGGAGGAACAGTGAAAAGGTGGTAGGATGGGAGGTACCAGTGTGAAAGATTCCTGGGGTTAGGGCATTAGAGGTAGTGATCTAGGAAGACAAGAGCCACCAGTCAGGTAGTTAAATGCAGGAAACTGAGTCTGAGGGGGACCTGCGGTCACTGGCAATGACTAAGTCTAAGAATGGGGAACTAATGACCGTGCTAGGGTGAAGGACCAGATCTAAAAGGATGGAGGTCAAGGAACTGAGGAAGAATTTTCTGTGTGTTAAACTAAGGAAGTGGTAGTAAAGTGACAACGAGCCAATGCTGAAATCAAATGAGAAGGACACCCGTTGTAGGTAAATCACAACAGAACTTGATTGTGTAAACTAATAAGATGAGCTTTAGGGAAAGGAGGGAGGCCGAATGTCCTGAAAGAAAAAGATGGAGTGTGAGGAGGACACCTACCCATCTCCAGGTCCAGTGGTCAGAAAACAGAGAAGAACAAAAACGAAAAAAGGGCTTCTGGACTGGCAGTGTCCACAGAGGACAGCCAGGTGCCTGTTAGAGCGAGAAAGCAAAGGGCATTTCAAAAAATAGGGGGCAAATACAGTGGAAATATTTCAGGAACTGTGGTGGGTGGAAGGAGCAGACACAATAGGACACAGAGACTTTGGTAAAGCAGAATACAAGAAAGGAAAGGGGACCTGGAAAGGGAGGCCTGTCATGAGCAAAGGATAAAGAACATCTTACTAGATTAGTTCCAGTGGCTTCTACTTAAAGATAGAAGGGCAGAGATGAAAGTTCAATAACAAATTAACATGTCTATATGTACCTATAAACCTCCCATATCTTATTTCACTATTTGGATACTTTATATTGCTCTCTAAACTAAGTTTCCTCCTGAGCATTGCTTTAACGAGTCATCTTATCCCCAAAATGTGGCTGTTCTAGTTGCATGTGATAGTTCACAAGAATTATGTGGGTTAGAAATTCAAGCATGGCTTGACTGGACATCAACTGATGTCAGCCAATGGTGTTAGTCAGCTGTGAGAGGGGCTGGTTTGAAGAGTCCAGGACAGCTCCACTCCCAGACTAGAGCCGCGGTGAGTGGCTGAAAGGCTTGGCCCAGCTGGGACTATCACCTGGAGCGTCTGTGCGTGGCCTGTCCAGGATGACAGCCTGAGGGTGGGAGGACTTCTTATATGATGACCGGCTGTGCCAAAGTAAGCATCCTAAGAGTACTCACTGAGGGGAAGCTGCATAGCCTATTTGGATTTAGCCTCAGAAGGCAGGCAGGCACTTCCTCCACATTCTCTTGACCACAGAAGAGTTCTAAGCCTAGCCCAAAGGAGGGCAATTAGATTCCACCTCTTGATGGGGAGTGGCCAGGTCACGCTGTTGGGAGCGTGCAGAGTGGAGGCTATTGTTGCAGCCATCTTTAGCCAATATTATCTGCCCTGGTAACACAGGCAAGACATACCCTTTTATCAATCAGGTGATGAGGATACATATCCCTGAGAAGGGATTCCCAGGTTCAAGCTCAAAATAACTGTGAGTTCTGTTTGCCATAAACCATTAAATTTATACTTTTTTTCTTTAGAGTCTAGAAGAAGCACATTGGAAAGTTTATATCAAACCTCAGAGCATTTGGAAGAAGAACTCGGTAAGATAAATCAAGTAAAAAGTTTCTTTTAAGTACCCACATTGCAAAGATACCAAGTATAATAGAATTTTTCAAAAAATAAGAATAATTTCAACCAGCACTTGATAAGCTAATACTGAAATTCTGAGTTTATTTGTTCATTTTTTAAATCACCACTTATCCCCCACCCCCTCTTCTACCTCCACTACCTGCTTCCCACCCCCCACGATCCCCACAGTGTTGTGTCCATGAGTTCTTTCTCTCTTTTTTTCTTTTATGCTCGATCCCTCCACCCTACAACACATCCCTCCCAGAGCTGGGAGCTTGCTCTGTGGGTCTCTCTATTTTGCTTATTAGTTCGGTTTGTTCATTATATTCCACATATGAGTGAAATCACGTGGTGCTTGTCTTTCTCAGACTGGCTTATTTCACTGAAACATTGCTTTTGAAAAATCAGAGATTCATTTTTATATATCACAGATGGTTAAGTATTTTTAACCTTTTAAGCTATGTCTGAAAATTACAGGAAACAATATTTTTCAAAGCAAGTGTCTCTTACTTCCTAACCCAATATAAAATTTAATTGTATAATTAATTTTATTTCTGATTTCCAGATAACCAAAAAAATGAAACTTCAACCAGCTTTTGACTTAGCAACAAAGTAAGAAGAAATGTATCATGTCACCTGAGTCTTCAATTATCTGTATAGGAGTAGGTTACAAATAATACAGCTAGACTTATAATTAAAACTAAAACTGTGTTTTCACTGGATGTTGTATTGCAATGCACTACTTATTACACATTTTGTCTAAAACATTGAACTCCATGAAAATAAAACGTGTCCCAAATGCTTTAATATTAACAATTATCCATAAAATAAACTATACTTTTTTCCTTTTATCCACTATTCCACAAGAATAATAAGACACAAGTGTCTATGTAAATTTAATTATTGTTCAAGTGCAGTTTTCTGTCTTTTACTCCCATCCCAGCCCACCCCCCAGTGCTCCCCACCTCCCTTCTATTTCCCCCCACCTTAGTTTTTGTCCATGTGTCCTTTATACTTGTTCCTGTGAATCCTTCCCCTTTTCCCCTGAAATTCTTTCCCCTCTCCCCTCTGGTCCCTGTCAGCCTGTTCTGTATTTCAGTGTCTTTGGCTATATTTTGCTTGCTTGTTTGTTTTGTTGTTTAGGTTCCTGCTAAAGGTGAGATCATATGGTATTTGTCTTTCACCGCCTGCCTTATTTCACTCAGCATAATGCTTTCCAGTTCCATCCACATGGGTGTAAATTTAATTTTAAGTGCCTTTAAAAATGTTTGGAGCTCTGACTGGTGTGGCTCAGTTGGCTGGGCCTCACCCCACTAAGTGAAGGGTTGCAGGTTTGATTTCTGGTCAAGGGACACACCTGGGTTGCAGGTTTGGTCCCTGGTTGGGTCACATGTTAGAGGCAACCAGTTGGTGTTTCTCTCTTGCATCGACATTTCTCTCCCTCTCTTTCTCCCTCCCTTCCCCTCTATAAATAAATAAATAAATAAATAAATAAATAAATAAATAAATAAATAAAATCTCGGAAAAAATGTTGGGGAGGTTTTGTGAGAAAATTTTAATCAAAAGGCCCACATCTTTGAAAACACCTTGGGAAATTAGGTACGTCAGACGTGAACCTGTCAGTAAGGTCACCAGAAACCAGGTTTTGCATCGAACGCTGAGCAGACACGCTGCTATCCTGTCTGACAGATTTAATCCAGAGTTTTCTTTGGTGGTTTCTTTTTAAATTTCAATTTGAGTCATTTTTATTGGTGAACCTGATAACAAAATCAGGATTTTATGATGACAGATGCAAATCACAATTGCATCAAATGCTAGTACTTATGTATAAAAGGTCCTCCCATAAATAATGCAGCAAGGACCACTCACGGAGCACGGGCAACTATTTACAGTGGTCTCTAATTCCTTTTGGATCTAAATGGCAGTGCCTGAAATACAGCATTCCGTAATGAACTGTAATTACTTTCACTTTCAGAGTCTCCTTTTAAAAGCTGCTACAATATTATGCCATTTCTGTTTTTCATACTCTCTAATGAGATTCTCTATAAGTGGTTTAAAAATGCATCCCAGTTCCTAAGTAAGCAAATATCTTGGCACACCCACATTTTAGGTAACGCTGAAAATATCCTCGTGGGTAGCCCCTGGTCTAATTTTAAAGGGCCCTTCACCCTTCTTCCCTCCCCCTGCTCTTTCCCTTTTGGGGGCCTTCCCGTCCTCACAGAAGTATGACACATATCCACCTAGGGATGGTAGCATATTTTGAAATGTATAGAAGACACATTTGGTTAACTTTCAAGAGTCTCATTTAAAGATAAAATATAGGGATTTTTTAGAAAAAGAAATGAACATAACTTCCATTAGGTAAAAGGCTTTATGGCCCTTTTTCCAAGTTATTTTACCCAGATATTTTAATAAGCATATATTATATTGTTATCACTAACTGAAATTAATCTCCCCTCCCACCTGCCTCCCACACACCTACCATAGAAATTATAAAGTGTACCCTGGACAGTAATGCGGTCATACAATTATTTTTGGATTTTTAATAGCTTACCTGAACTGACTAAAAGAAAAAAAAACAAATACTAAGAAGTTGCTCCTCTTCCCACACAGCTTGCTTTTGTATCTAACTTCTCAAACTCTGCTTGAGATGGCAGTTCTTTGTAGCATCTTATCTATAAATTTTATGAAATTGAAAGTTGTTACAAGTTGTCCTGAAAATGTTTTATAAGTATATACAAATTACCTTAACATTTCTAAAAACTTTATTATTACTTCCTGGGACAATCTAGAATCTACCAAGTTGAATAAATTTGGCCTCAGAGAACAATAAACTTATCACCACTTGAACCCCTAAACTTTTAAACATGTTCTGCATTTACTAGTGGTCAAAGAAATGCAAATAAAAACAGCAATATCTGTCCTGGCTGGTGTGGCTTGGTGGACTGAGTGCCGGCCTGCAAACCAAAAGGTCATCAGTTCAATTCCCAGTCAGGGCACATGCCTGGGTTGCGGGCCAGGTCGAGCTTAGTTGGGAGTGTGTGAGAGGCAACCAATCGATGTATCTCTCTCACATGAAGTTTCTCTCCTTCTCTTTCTCCTTCCTTTCCCCTCTGTCTAAAAATAAATAAATAAAATGTTAAAAAAAAACAATACTCATTTATTAGCACACGGTTGGTCAGAGTCCAAGCAGGTTTGACTGTTTAGGTCAGTGATTTTCAACCATTTTCATCTCATGGCACACATAAACTAATTACTAAAAGCCTATAGTATGCCAAAAAAATATTTGTTTTTGCTGATCTGACAAAAATAGGTATAATTTTGATTCATTCACACCAGAGGGTTGTTGTGTTGGCTGTTGTCGTTTTTTTATTTGATAACCTAAGGGAAAAGAGGTCAGTGCCTCTGACTAAATAGTGAGGTATTGCATGTTTTAAAAATTCTCACGATGCACCGGTTGAAAGTCATTAGTTTAGGGTATCATCAGACCAAAACCAAGGTGTCTGCCAAGCTGGGCTCTTTACCTGACAGATCTGGGGTAGAATCTACATCCAGGCTCATTTCAGCTGTTGGTAGAATTCTCTTCCTTGCATCTGTAGGACTGGGGCCTCTGCATCCTGGCTGGTGACTGGAGGCCACCGGCATCCCTTCTCATAACCCCACCCATCCTGGAAGCAATAATGGCATTTGGAGAACTTCTCCATCTTCAGAGCTCTCTAATTTCCCTTTCTGCCACAGCCAGATAAAAGGCTCTCTGCTCTAAGGGCTCATGTGATTAGATTAGGCTCATCCAGATAACTTTCCTATTTTAAGGTCAACTGTGCCATATAACATAATAAAATCATGGTGGTGATATGTCCTCTTAGTCACAGGTTCCTGGGATTAAGGCGGGACATTTTGCAGGTCAAAAATCGACCTACCACACCATGGAACAACATGCAATAACTAAGAATGATGACCATAGGGTTGGCATTTGGCTTGCCCATTCAAACACATAAACTAGTTATTAAAATACAGAAATGCTTCTGTAGCATTTAGCTGTGGTTCTGCAGTGCTGCTTTGGGTCCCCACCTTCTTCCCAATGCCTAGGAACGCTCCCATTCTCTCCCCTAGCAGGATTCAGCCCCCTCCTGGGCCAGCAACTGAAGGACCGAAGTCTGACACAGCCTGTCCTTTCTCATTGCTTGGTACCTATGAAGTAAATCATTAAATATTTGGAGTATCACTTCTGGATTTAGATGTATATTTAATGACAGAAAAGAAGAGTATTATATTATTATTATTAATTGAAGAAAGAAGACAGTTATTTAGAATGAACAGAATGATATGTAGATACATTGATAGCTGATAGATAGATAATATAGATACATACATATATGCATGCAGGTTTATATTGGATTATTTATATTAGTATGTCTAAGAGCAACTCTTGAAATTTATGTTGGTTTATTTATATTACTGAATATTTATGGGAGCAATTTCCGAAAGATATACTACAAAACATTAACAGTTGTTATTTTCTAAATGTAGAATTTCAGGTGATACAAATTTAATTTTTACATTTTCTCTATTTTTCCAATGAACATGTATAATTGATGTAATAAAAAGAATTTATAATAGAGACCAAATAATTCCTGGTCTCTCCTTTTACGACCTTAGAAAGGAGGAGTTCCTCATCTTTAATCCTTTGTTGCTTAATCAGTAAAATGAACCACATGGTATTTTTCTTCTTTACCAGCTCACAGAGTTTCTAATTCTAAATCTGCCACTCATTCGTGTATGCACGTTCAATGTAGGCTTTAAAAAAAGTCTTAAAGGAAAGAAAATAGGGAGGGGAAGAAGGAACGAAGGAGGCCATCAGAGCTACAAGACATTGTCTCCATTTTGTCCATTTTAGACATTGTAGAAAACTCCGCTTTCTTTTTTCAAGCGACATAATTCATTCAAGATTGAGGTTCCCAATGCAATTATTTATTCCCCTTTGCTCACTGTCCAAGATGCTATGGGTTTATTGTAGCTTTTAAACTACATGTCCTGACCTGTCGTTGTTGAAGCAACAAGCAGTGAGGATATTGCAGCTGGCAATGGACAGAACAAAGAACTGTGTCCACGGAGCCAACGTTCAAGGTGGAAAACAAAAGCAAAGTCCTAACAAGTGAGTAAATAAACAGGACATTGTTATAAAATTGTGAAAGAAATAAATGAAACAGGATGGATAATAATGGGGAAAGGACTATTTACATAAATAGGGTCATCAAGGAAGACCTCGGAGGAGGTACTGTTTGCACTGAGACCTGCGAGATGAGAAGAATGCGGCAGTGTGAACCACCCCCTCCAGAGGAGAAGCATTCCAGCAGCGGAGCACGGGCTCTGCGGTAAGACAGAGTCTGGGGGGTTTGCAGAATGCAAGGTAGGGAGGTGTGACCACAGAACAATAAGCAGGAGACAGTGGTCGGGGTGAAGCTGGAGAAGTAGGCAGGTACCAGATCATAAGTATCTTTAGCCTGGAGTGCAGAGTTCAGATTTTATTCTGAATACCAGTGGAAAGTCACTTAAAACTTTTAAACTTCGAAGACATGAGCTTATTTATGTTTTTGAAAAACAACTTTGGCTGTTGTGTAGTGAGAATACTGGAGGGCAAGAGTGGTCACTTGGAGAACATTGGGAGAGCAATTTGACGCTATCTAATGAAGTTGAAGGTATTTGTACCCATGAACCAACAATCATTTCTGAGCAGGTTCCCTGAGGAAACTTTCTCCCATAT